GAGACCATTGGTCTATGTAAACGAAACCTTCAAAATTAGTTGAAGTGCAATCATAAGCCCCTTTTACTCTCCTGACAGATCTTTCACTTACTAAGAATAAAAACACAAAAGTCAAGTAATAGAAACCAAGTTAAATTGCTTCTCCCAGTCCAGAGTCTGAAAAGGGGATGGTACTATGAACTTCCTTGTCTCACTACTAGCCTAATATTAAGGAAAACAACAAGAAAGGCAATTAATGATAAATCAATCCCAACTGACTCCATCAATCCAGGAGCAGACAAAGGCTAGGAGCTAGAAAGTCTTGCCAATGCTCCTATTTCTACTTTCTTTCTGTCCCTGTGATGGGGTTGGGATCTCAGCTCCAGAAAGGAAAAACCCTAGACTTTCCCAAGTGGCCAAATCTCTGACATTCCCCTGGGGATAGAATCCCATCAACTGGCCTTTCATTGTGGCTACACCCAACCTCCCCTCCATTGTCTTGCCTCCCTCTCCATTTTCCTGGAATTCTATTACCTCATAGACTGCTTGGCCACTCCTAGATGCCTCCCACAGTCTTTCTGTATATAAGGTCTATCTTGTCTGCATTAAGATGCTCAGATTCTTATAATGTAGCCACTGCTCAGATTCCTAAAATCCAGCCTCTGTTTAGATTCTTATAATCTAGCCAATAAGCCAACAGCTCTTATTAATGTTCAGATTCCTTAAGAGTCTGCCCAATAACATGGATGTTCTAATACACTTTGTCTTTGGCTGAAGGAAGGCTTGGGTCAACAAGCCTTGGGGAAACAGTGGTATTAGGGCAGGAGTCTTATGAATCTGAAGAGTTTTCAGTTGTGGAGAAAAACAATCTATGTTCAAGGGCCCCAGTGGAATTCTATCAGGAATAGAAGCCTCCATGTGACTAGAGGTTACCAAATAAAATCCAGAACTCATTCCATTCATTTCAAAGCTGTCATACATATTAACTACAGGAAGTATGAGAAATAAAGGAAATACAGACAAAAAGGATGGAAAAACAGATATTGTTGTGATCAGTCTGATCTCACAACCCCTATCATGACCATAATATATTAGACAGTTTATCATCTTTACAATGCTAGGTAAATAATGCAGATAACTATGGCAATAGAATTAATTGAAAAAGAGGTACCTGGAAGACGTACTTGAAACAGTATGACTGAACTAGAAAAATCTTATTAATAAAAAAGAGTAAAATTTTGCTAACATTTCTGATGAATTTCTTTGGCATCTAGCAGAATCTCAGAACATTGTTCAATCTAAACCAGGCCTTCAGAATTAGTTGAAGTGCAATCATAAGCTCCTTCTCCTTTCCTGACAGATCTTTCAGTTACTAAGAAAAAGAATACAAAATGCAAATAATGGAAATGAATTCAAATTGTTTTTCCCAAAACTGAGTCTGAAAAAAAAGGCTGGCAATGTGGACTTACTTATCTCACTATTAGCCTAATATGAAGAAAAACAAAAAGAAAGTTACTTAATAGAAATCAGTCAGTACAGATTGACTCCCTCAATCCAGGGGCAGGGAAAGGCTAGGAATGTCTTACCAATGCTCCTGTTTTTTTTTTTTTAATGTTCTTTTCCTTTTTTTAAAATTAATTTATTTTAATTTATCAACAATCACTTCCATAAGCTTTTGAGTTTTAAATTTTTCTCCTTCTCCCTCCCTGCCTCCTTCCCCAAGATAGTGTGTAATCTGATATAGGCTATACATATACGTTTCTATTAAACATTTTCACATTAGTGATGTTGTAAGAAGGCTCAGAACCACCTCCTATTACTTCTTGCCATCTCTCCTGAAGTCAGTGGTGTCAGTAGATTTGAAGCTAGGCCTGAGATGGGTCCTTTCTTAGCAGAAGTGAAGAGGCTTTCTTTAAAGGTGAAAAAATATGACCACAACGTTGCACTTCTTTATTTTGTGTTATAGATACAAATTTTTTGGATAGGTATTTGTCTCTTTGGGTTCTTGGTATTATTTTCTTCTTTCCCTTCTACTGTTTTATAAAAGAACCCTCCTTGAAAAGTCAAAGTAACGAAGAAGAGAGAGTCTGAGAGAGAATGAGAGATGGAGAAAAATAGAGAGACAGAGAGAGGGAGAGAGAGAGAGAGAGAGAGAGAGAGAGAGAGAGAGAGAGAGAGAGAGAGAAACAAACATTGCAGAGCCACAAAGAAAATATTTTATTAAATATTACAAAGTGATCTTGAAATCATTGATCTAGGATATTAGCTAACAGAAAAAGCAAATATATGTAATTGCAAGAGATGATAAACTGGCTTTGGATTTTTGATCTGGGAAATTCTAAGATGGGAAAATGAGACAGATGCAATGGCAAGGGAGAACAATGCCTTTTAACCTGACCACTCTGTCAGTTCATCATTACCCCCTCTTTCTTGGTACTGAACTTTAAGAGCGGAAATGCCAAATTGTTTAAAATGAGAGACAAGGTCTGGGGTCCTTAAGGAAAAAGGAAAGAAGGACTCTTTAGAGAAAGACATATTACTTACGTTCACCAGGTGGTTCGCTTGGGGGTTCTGTGGGTAGAAAAAATAAAACGAGATGAGTAACGTTTAGGGCAAGACTCTATGAATCGCAAGAGGTTTTAGGTGTGGATAAGGGTTATATGTGATCGAGGGCCCCAGGGGAATTCTTTCAGGAATGCAAGTATCCACTAGGCCAGAGGTTCATATTCAGTCACAAAATCATCCTATGCATTTCAAAGCTTTCATAAGAGTAAGTAGAGGAGATAAGAGAAATGAAGTAACTACATATAAAATGGGTGGAAAAATTAGATATTATTATGTTCATCCTGATCTCAGCACATCTCTAAAAGAATAGAAACATCATGCCAATCCACCTATTTCTTCTTGTCTTCTATCCCTGAAGTTAGTGGTGTGAGGAGGCTTGGGGGTAGGTGTGAGACGGATCCTTTCTTAGAAGAAGTGAAGAGACTTTGCATAAAAGGAGAAATCATGCCTAGGATGAAGCATTTCTTGATTCTGTGTTTTAGGTACAAATATTTTATATAAGCATTTATCCTTTTCAATTCCTAATATAACATTTTCTTCTTTTCCTCTTTTGCTTTCTGAAATTTCACTGTTTCAAAGGTGAAAGTACAAGGGACAGAGAGAGATACAGAGAAAATGTGTGTGTGCATGTGTGTGTGTGTGTGTGTGTGTGTGTGTGTGTGTGTGTGTGAAAGAGAGAGAGACAGAGGGAGAGACAAAGGCAGAGAAAAAGCAAGACAGAGACAGAGAGATAAAGATATCAATTCAGAGAAAGACCAGACACAGAGGGACTGTGAAAACACAGAGAAAGAGAGAGAGAAATACCCACACTGCAGAGACATGAAGAGAACATTGCATTAAATATTACAAAGTGATCTTGAAATCTTTGATCTAGGGTATTAGGCAATGGAAAAAAGCAAACTATGCTTTAGGAAAAGATGAGAAAATCATTTTGGATTTTTGATCTGGGAAAATCTCTGGTGGAAATATGTGAGCTATGCAATGGCAAGAGAAAACAAAGCCTTTTAACCTGACCACCCTCCTAGTTCATTATTACCCTCTCTTTCTTGGTACTGAACTTTAAGAGTGGATGTGCCAAATGGTTTCAAATGAGAACAAGGTCTAGGGTCCTCAAGGAACGGGGAAAGAAAGGAGTGTTTAGAGATAGACATACTACTTACCTTCAGGTGGTGCACCTGGTTCTCCTGGGGTAGAAAAAAAAAAAGATGAGTGATGTTTAGGGCAAGAGTCCTTCTGAATCTCAAGAGGTTTCAGAGGTGGATAAAGTAATATGTGATCGAAGGACCCAGTGGAATTACTTGAAGAATGCAAGTATCCACTTGGATAGAGGTTCATATTCACTCACAAAATCATCCTATACATTTCAAAGCTTTCATAAATGTAAGTAGAAGATATAAGAGAAATGAAGGACCTAAATATAAAACGGGTGGAGAAATTAGATATTATGTTCAACCTGATCTCTGCACATCTGTAAACAATAGAAACATCTTTCCAAACTACCTATTTCTTCTTCTCTTCTCTCCTTGAAGATATTGGCATGAGTAGGCTTGTGGCTAGGTCTGAGATAGCTTCTTCCTTAGAAGAAGCAAAGAGCCTTTGTGTAAAGGGGGAAATTATGTCCAGGATGTAATATTTCTTAATTTTGTGTTTTAGGTACAAATATTTTCAATACGCATTTGTCCGTTTGAATTGCTAATATTACATTTCCTTCTTTTCCTCTTTTGCTTTCTGAACTTTCACTTTTTCAAAGGTGAAAGTACAAGGAAGAGAGAGAGAGATACAAAGAAAATATGTGTGTGTGTATGGGTGTGTGTGTGTGTGTGTGCGCGTGAAAGAGAGAGAGACAGAGGGAGAGAGAAAGGCAGAGAAAAAGCGAGACAGAGACAGAGAGATAAAGATATCAATTCAGAGAAAGACCAGACACAGAGGGACTGTGAAAACACAGAGAAAGAGAGAGAGAAATACCCACACTGCAGAGACATGAAGAGAACATTGCATTAAATATTACAAAGTGATCTTGAAATCTTTGATCTAGGATATTAGGCAATGGAAAAAAGCAAACTATGCTTTAGGAAAAGATGAGAAAATCATTTTGGATTTTTGATCTGGGAAAATCTCTGGTGGAAATATGAGAGCTATGCAACGGCAAGAGAAAACAAAGCCTTTTAAGCTGACCACCCTCTTAGTTCATTATTACCCTCTCTTTCTTGGTACTGAACTTTAAGAGTGGATGTGCCAAATGGTTTCAAATGAGAGACAAGGTCTAGGGTCCTCAAGGAACAGGGAAAGAAAGGAGTGTTTAGAGATAGACATACTACTTACCTTCAGGTGGTGCACCTGGTTCTCCTGGGGTAGAAAAAAAAAAAGATGAGTGATGTTTAGGGCAAGAGTCCTTCTGAATCTCAAGAGGTTTCAGAGGTGGATAAAGTAATATGTGATCGAAGGACCCAGTAGAATTACTTGAAGAATGCAAGCATCCACTTGTCTAGAGGTTCATATTCACTCACAAAATCATCCTATACATTTCAAAGCTTTCATAAATGTAAGTAGAAGATATAAGAGAAATGAAGGACCGAAATATAAAACGGGTGGAAAACTTAGATATTATGTTCAACCTGATCTCAGCACATCTCTAAAGAATAGAAACATCTTTCCAAACTACCTATTTCTTCTTCTCTTCTCTCCTTGAAGATATTGGCGTGAGTAGGCTTGTGGCTAGGTCTGAGATAGCTCCTTCCTTAGAAGAAGCGAAGAGCCTTTGTATACAGGGGGAAATTATGGCCAGGATGAAGCATTTCTTCATTTTGTGTTTTAGGTGCAAATATTTTGAATAAGCGTTTGTCCTTTTCAATTCCTAATAGTATGTTCCCTCCATTTGCTCCTGTGCTTTCTGAAATTTCACTCTTTGAAAGGTCAAAGTAGAAGGGAGGGAGAAAGCTAGAGAGAAAGTGTGTGTGTGTGTGTGTGTGTGTGTGTGTGTGTGTGTGAAAGGCAGAAAGAGAGAGAAAAAGAGAGACAGAGAGATAAAGATATAGATTCAGAGTAAGACCAGATACAGAGATTCCGTGAAAAAATAGAGAGAGAGAGAAATACCCACGGTGCAGAGACATGAAGAGAACACTGCATTAAATATTACAAAGTGATCTTGAAATCTTTGATCTAGGATACTAGCCAATGGAAAAAAGCAAACTATGCTTTGGGAAAAGATGGCAAAATCATTTTGGATTTTTGATCTGGAAAAATCTCTGGTGGAAATATGAGAGCTATGCAACGGCAAGAGAAAACAAAGCCTTTTAAGCTGACCACCCTCTTAGTTCATTATTACCCTCTCTTTCTTGGTACTGAACTTTAAGAGTGGATGTGCCAAATGGTTTCAAATGAGACACAAGGTCTAGGGTCCTCAAGGAACAGGGAAAGAAAGGAGTGTTTATAGATAGACATATTACTTACCTTCAGGTGGTGCACCTGGTTCTCCTGGGGTAGAAAAAAAAAAAGATGAGTGATGTTTAGGGCAAGAGTCCTTCTGAATCTCAAGAGGTTTCAGAGGTGGATAAAGTAATATGTGATCGAAGGACCCAGTAGAATTACTTGAAGAATGCAAGTATCCACTTGGATAGAGGTTCATATTCACTCACAAAATCATCCTATACATTTCAAAGCTTTCATAAATGTAAGTAGAAGATATAAGAGAAATGAAGGACCTAAATATAAAACGGGTGGAAAATTAGATATTATGTTCAGCCTGATCTCAGCACATCTGTAAACAATAGAAACATCTTTCCAAACTACCTATTTCTTCTTCTCTTCTCTCCTTGAAGATATTGGCGTGAGTAGGCTTGTGGCTAGGTCTGAGATAGCTTCTTCCTTAGAAGAAGCAAAGAGCCTTTGTGTAAAGGGGGAAATTATGTCCAGGATGTAATATTTCTTAATTTTGTGTTTTAGGTACAAATATTTTCAATACGCATTTGTCCGTTTGAATTGCTAATATTACATTTCCTTCTTTTCCTCTTTTGCTTTCTGAACTTTCACTTTTTCAAAGGTGAAAGTACAAGGAAGAGAGAGAGAGATACAAAGAAAATATGTGTGTGTGTATGGGTGTGTGTGTGTGTGTGTGCGCGTGAAAGAGAGAGAGACAGAGGGAGAGAAAGGCAGAGAAAAAGCGAGACAGAGACAGAGAGATAAAGATATCAATTCAGAGAAAGACCAGACACAGAGGGACTGTGAAAACACAGAGAAAGAGAGAGAGAAATACCCACACTGCAGAGACATGAAGAGAACATTGCATTAAATATTACAAAGTGATCTTGAAATCTTTGATCTAGGATATTAGGCAATGGAAAAAAGCAAACTATGCTTTGGAAAAGATGAAAATCATTTTGGATTTTTGATCTGGGAAAATCTCTGGTGGAAATATGAGAGCTATGCAATGGCAAGAGAAAACAAAGCCTTTTAAGCTGACCACCCTCTTAGTTCATTATTACCCTCTCTTTCTTGGTACTGAACTTTAAGAGTGGATGTGCCAAATGGTTTCAAATGAGAGACAAGGTCTAGGGTCCTCAAGGAACAGGGAAAGAAAGGAGTGTTTAGAGATAGACATACTACTTACCTTCAGGTGGTGCACCTGGTTCTCCTGGGGTAGAAAAAAAAAAAGATGAGTGATGTTTAGGGCAAGAGTCCTTCTGAATCTCAAGAGGTTTCAGAGGTGGATAAAGTAATATGTGATCGAAGGACCCAGTGGAATTACTTGAAGAATGCAAGTATCCACTTGGCTAGAGGTTCATATTCACTCACAAAATCATCCCATACATTTCAAAGCTTTCATAAATGTAAGTAGAAGATATAAGAGAAATGAAGGACCGAAATATAAAAGGTGGAAAACTTAGATATTATGTTCACCTGATCTCAGCACATCTCTAAAGAATAGAAACATCTTTCCAAACTACCTATTTCTTCTTCTCTTCTCTCCTTGAAGATATTGGCGTGAGTAGGCTTGTGGCTAGGTCTGAGATAGCTCCTTCCTTAGAAGAAGCGAAGAGCCTTTGTATAAAGGGGGAAATTATGGCCAGGATGAAGCATTTCTTCATTTTGTGTTTTAGGTGCAAATATTTTGAATAAGCGTTTGTCCTTTTGAATTCCTAATAGTGTGTTCCCTCCTTTTCTCCTGTGCTTTCTGAAATTTCACTCTTTGAAAGGTCAAAGTAGAAGGGAGGGAGAAAGCTAGAGAGAAAAAGTGTGTGTGTGTGTGTGTGTGTGTGTGTGTGAAAGGCAGAGAGAGAGAGAAAAAGACAGAGACAGAGAGATAAAGATATAGATTCAGAAAAGACCAGATACAGAGATCCCGTGAAAAAATAGAGAGAGAGAGAAATACCCACAGTGCAGAGACATGAAGAGAACATTGCATTAAATATTACAAAGTGATCTTGAAATGTTTGATCTAGGATATTAGGCAATGGAAAAAAGCAAACTATGCTTTGGGAAAAGATGGCAAAATCATTTTGGATTTTTGATCTGGGAAAATCTCTGGTGGAAATATGAGAGCTATGCAATGGCAAGAGAAAACAAAGCCTTTTAAGCTGACCACCCTCTTAGTTCATTATTACCCTCTCTTTCTTGGTACTGAACTTTAAGAGTGGATGTGCCAAATGGTTTCAAATGAGAGACAAGGTCTAGGGTCCTCAAGGAACGGGGAAAGAAAGGAGTGTTTAGAGATAGACATATTACTTACCTTCAGGTGGTGCACCTGGTTCTCCTGGGGTAGAAAAAATAAAAAGATGAGTGATGTTTAGGGCAAGAGTCCTTCTGAATCTCAAGAGGTTTCAGAGGTGGATAAAGTAATACGTGATCGAAGGACCCAGTAGAATTACTTGAAGAATGCAAGTATCCACTTGGCTAGAGGTTCATATTCACTCACAAAATCATCCTATACATTTCAAAGCTTTCATAAATGTAAGTAGAACATATAAGAGAAATGAAGGACCGAAATATAAAACGGGTGGAAAACTTAGATATTATGTTCAACCTGATCTCAGCACATCTCTAAAGAATAGAAACATCTTGCCAAACTACCTATTTCTTCTTCTCTTCTCTCCTTGAAGATATTGGCGTGAGTAGGCTTGTGGCTAGGTCTGAGATGGCTCCTTCCTTAGAAGAAGTGAAGAGCCTTTGTGTAAAGGGGGAAATTATGTCCAGGATGTAATATTTCTTAATTTTGTGTTTTAGGTACAAATATTTTCAATACGCATTTGTCCGTTTGAATTGCTAATATTACATTTCCTTCTTTTCCTCTTTTGCTTTCTGAAATTTCACTTTTTCAAAGGTGAAAGTACAAGGGAGAGAGAGAGATACAGAGAATGTGTGTGTGTATGTGTGTGTGTGTGTGTGTGTGTGTGTGTGTGTGAAAGAGAGAGAGACAGAGGGAGAGACAAAGGCAGAGAAAAAGCGAGACAGAGACAGAGAGATAAAGATATCAATTCAGAGAAAGACCAGATACAGGAGATCCCGTGAAAAAATAGAGAGAGAGAGAAATACCCACAGTGCAGAGACATGAAGAGAACATTGCATTAAATATTACAAAGTGATCTTGAAATGTTTGATCTAGGATATTAGGCAATTGAAAAAAGCAAACTATGCTTTGGGAAAAGATGGCAAAATGGCTTTGGATTTTTGATCTGGGAAATTCTCTGGTGGAAAAATGAGAGCTATGCAATGGCAAGAGAAAACAAAGCCTTTTAAGCTGACCACCCTCTTAGTTCATTATTACCCTCTCTTTCTTGGTACTGAACTTTAAGAGTGGATGTGCCAAATGGTTTCAAATGAGAGACAAGGTCTAGGGTCCTCAAGGAACGGGGAAAGAAAGGAGTGTTTAGAGATAGACATATTACTTACCTTCAGGTGGTGCACCTGGTTCTCCTGGGGTAGAAAAAATAAAAAGATGAGTGATGTTTAGTGCAAGAGTCCTTCTGAATCTCAAGAGGTTTCAGAGGTGGATAAAGTAATATGTGATCGAAGGACCCAGTGGAATTACTTGAAAAATGCAAGTATCCACTTGGCTAGAGGTTCATATTCACTCACAAAATCATCCCATACATTTCAAAGCTTTCATAAATGTAAGTAGAAGATATAAGAGAAATGAAGGACCTAAATATAAAACGGGTGGAAAACTTAGATATTATGTTCAACCTGATCTCAGCACATCTCTAAAGAATAGAAACATCTTGCCACACTACCTATTTCTTCTCTTCTCTCCTTGAAGATATTGGCGTGAGTAGGCTTGTGGCTAGGTCTGAGATAGCTCCTTCCTTAGAAGAAGCAAAGAGCCTTTGTGCAAAGGGGGAAATTATGGCCAGGATGAAGCATTTCTTCATTTTGTGTTTTAGGTGCAAATATTTTGAATACGCATTTGTCCTTTTGAATTCCTAATAGTGTGTTCCCTCATTTCTCCTGTGCTTTCTGAAATTTCACTTTGAAAGGTCAAAGTAGAAGGGAGGGAGAAAGCTAGAGAAAAATGTGTGTGTGTGTGTGTGTGTGTGTGTGTGTGTGTGTGTGTGTGTGTGAAAGGCAGAGAGAGAGAGAAAAGAGAGACAGAGAGATAAAGATATAGATTCAGAGAAAGACCAGATACAGAGATCCCGTGAAAAAATAGAGAGAGAGAGAAATACCCACAGTGCAGAGACATGAAGAGAACATTGCATTAAATATTACAAAGTGATCTTGAAATGTTTGATCTAGGATATTAGGCAATTGAAAAAAGCAAACTATGCTTTGGGAAAAGATGACAAAATCAGTTTGGATTTTTGATCTGGGAAATTCTCTGGTGGAAATATGAGAGCTATGCAATGGCAAGAGAAAACAAAGCCTTTTAAGCTGACCACCCTCTTAGTTCATTATTACCCTCTCTTTCTTGGTACTGAACTTTAAGAGTGGATGTGCCAAATGGTTTCAAATGAGAGACAAGGTCTAGGGTCCTCAAGGAACGGGGAAAGAAAGGAGTGTTTAGAGATAGACATATTACTTACCTTCAGGTGGTGCACCTGGTTCTCCTGGGGTAGAAAAAATAAAAAGATGAGTGATGTTTAGGGCAAGAGTCCTTCTGAATCTCAAGAGGTTTCAGAGGTGGATAAAGTAATATGTGATCGAAGGACCCAGTGGAATTACTTGAAAAATGCAAGTATCCACTTGGCTAGAGGTTCATATTCACTCACAAAATCATCCATACATTTCAAAGCTTTCATAAATGTAAGTAGAAGATATAAGAGAAATGAAGGACCTGAAATATAAAACGGGTGGAAAATTAGATATTATGTTCACCTGATCTCAGCACATCTCTAAAATAGAAACATCTTTCCAAACTACCTATTTCTTCTCTTCTCTCCTTGAAGATATTGGCGTGAGTAGGCTTGTGGCTAGGTCTGAGATGGCTCCTTCCTTAGAAGAAGCAAGAGCCTTTGTGTAAAGGGGGAAATTATGGCCAGGATGAAGCATTTCTTAATTTTGTGTTTTAGGTACAAATATTTTCAATACGCATTTGTCCTTTTGAATTCCTAATATTTTCCTTCTTTTCCTCTTGCTTTCTGAAATTTCACTCTTTCAAAGGTGAAAGTACAAGGGAGGGAGAAAGCAGAGAAAAATGTGTGTGTGTGTGTGTGTGTGTGTGTGTGTGTGTGTGTGTGTGTGTGAGAAAGAGACAGAGAGAGAGAGAAAAAAGAGACAGAGAGATAAAGATATAGATTCAGAGAAAGACCAGACACAGAGGGACTGTGAAAAAAAGAGAGAGAGAGAAATACCCACAGTGCAGAGACATGAAGAGAACATTGCATTAAATATTACAAAGTGATCTTGAAATGTTTGATCTAGGATATTAGGCAATGAAAAAAGCAAACTATGCTTTGGGAAAAGATGCAAAATCTTTGGATTTTTGATCTGGGAAATTCTCTGGTGGAAATATGAGAGCTATGCAACGGCAAGAGAAAACAAAGCCTTTTAAGCTGACCACCCTCTTAGTTCATTATTACCCTCTCTTTCTTGGTACTGAACTTTAAGAGTGGATGTGCCAAATGGTTTCAAATGAGAGACAAGGTCTAGGGTCCTCAAGGAACGGGGAAAGAAAGGAGTGTTTAGAGATAGACATATTACTTACCTTCAGGTGGTGCACCTGGTTCTCCTGGGGTAGAAAAAATAAAAAGATGAGTGATGTTTAGTGCAAGAGTCCTTCTGAATCTCAAGAGGTTTCAGAGGTGGATAAAGTAATATGTGATCGAAGGACCCAGTGGAATTACTTGAAGAATGCAAGTATCCACTTGGCTAGAGGTTCATATTCACTCACAAAATCATCCCATACATTTCAAAGCTTTCATAAATGTAAGTAGAAGATATAAGAGAAATGAAGGACCGAAATATAAAACGGGTGGAAAACTTAGATATTATGTTCAACCTGATCTCAGCACATCTCTAAAGAATAGAAACATCTTTGCCACACTACCTATTTCTTCTTCTCTTCTCTCCTTGAAGATATTGGCGTGAGTAGGCTTGTGGCTAGGTCTGAGATAGCTCCTTCCTTAGAAGAAGCAAAGAGCCTTTGTGCAAAGGGGGAAATTATGGCCAGGATGAAGCATTTCTTCATTTTGTGTTTTAGGTGCAAATATTTTGAATAAGCATTTGTCCTTTTGAATTCCTAATAGTGTTTCCCTCTTTTCTCCTGTGCTTTCTGAAATTTCACTCTTTGAAAGGTCAAAGTAGAAGGGAGGGAGAAAGCTAGAGAAAATGTGTGTGTGTGTTGTGTGTGTGTGTGTGTGTGTGTGTGTGTGTGTGTGTGTGTGAAAGGCAGAGAGAGAGAG